TTGCTAGGCCGCCATTACTCTGGCAAGAACATGCGTGGGCGCCGGCAGCGTCAAAAACATCAAAGGAGTGAGCCATCTATTCATTCCTTAATCTATGGAACGGGGAATCGGGGAACGGGGAATGGGAACGGGGAATGGGAACGGGGAATGGGAACGGGGAATGGGAACGGAAGTGGGAACGGAAGTGGGAACGGAAGTGGGAACGGAAGTGGGAACGCGAACGGCAATCATAAAAAACATTTTAAAAAACGAATAAGTTCTTTGCATGTTTGCATGGTGAAAAAAATATAATTTATATACTCTGTAGGCCTCGATCACGGATCGAAAGCTTTGTGTATCTACAAAGTACAAATTACAAAAAACGAAATACACATTCAACAAATTTATACACATTCAACAAATTTATATCGTGCACACATTCTACTATGTTTAATTTATTATGATCTATGATAATTCATTGCTATTTTCGTAAATAGAATAAAGTTGAATTACAAGCACTGTTTATCGTTAGCCGCGAATGGCTCCCATCTTATATTCGGCTTTGTTTCAGCGGTATATCCCACAGAAACGGTCTTTTATTGTTAAAATAATCATACATGCAAAGTGCCATCTATTATACAGTAGAATCTCGCTATCTCGAATGAGAGGCGAAGATTATTCAAGTTAGCACATGTTCGGTTAACAGGGATTTCTGTTACTTTAAGCCATTGCGGTGCATTTTAATGGAATATACATTGCGAGGTTGCGTTAGTGATTCAGAATAGAAGTAATTCTCAATGCCAAATTGCCTTCGTGATGTTGTTTTTTCTCATTTTTTGTGCTGCAAAGACATTGCAGGTGAATATTAGAGGGGATTATTAATTGCAGGTGAATATTAGAGGGGATTATTAAACGGAAATTGAAAATAATTGGATTATTAAATAGAAAATTTCATGTTACTTTGTAATATTATGCTTGCCGAAATTCCTTCAAACGGGGTTGTATTAGTTTTAATACACCTAGCATGACGTGATACTAGGTTTAATTCAAACCGCAAAGTCAAAAGAAATTCAGGCAACCATGATATTACCGTAGTTAAGCTAGGTAATGTTAGTCAATTTCATTAAAACGCTCCGCAATGGTTGAGAACTGTGACCAATTTCCAAACCATACTATTAAAATAACAAACGAAATCCATCAGACCAACACAAATATGTGCTAACTTAAACAATCTTCGCCTCCCATTCGAGGTAGCGAGGTTCTATTGTAGTATTGTACAGGGTGTCCCAAAAAACCCCGAAAACCATTGAAATCACTTATTGTTAAAATTGAATGCGCTACTAAAAAGCTGAACGTAATGATGCGTAAAATATTGACAAGGTGCGTGTATTAAAATTTAGTTAAGAACATCTCCTTGTAAAGTGCACGATTTTTTGCTCTTGGGAATTTAAAGCAGCTTCTTAAATAGTTTCTTTATGCATAAAATGTACTGATGTCAATCATTTATGCACTCGTGGGAACCTACAGAGTGCTAAGGCATTCAAATTCTAACAATTAAATTGTTATTAGTGATTTCAATAGTTTTCGTTTTTTTGGAACACCCTGTATATTAGATGGCACTTTGCATGTATGATTCTTTTAGCAATATTATAAAAGACCGTTTCTGTGTGCTGATATATATATGCATGTGTGGGATATACCGCTGAAACAAAGCCGAATATAAGATGGGAGCCATTCGCGGCTAACGATAAACAGTGCTTGTAATTCAACTTTATTCTATTTACGAAAATAGCAATGAATTATCATAGATCATAATAAATTAAACATAGTAGAATGTGTGCACGATATAAATTTGTTGAATGTGTATAGTTCAGCTGCTTTTTCGTTTTTTGTAATTTGTACTTTGTAGATACACAAAGCTTTCGATCCGTGATCGAGGCCTACAGAGTATAAATTATATTTTTTTCACCATGCAAACATGCAAAGAACTTATTCGTTTTTTAAAATGTTTTTTATGATTGCCGTTCGCGTTCCCACTTCCGTTCCCACTTCCGTTCCCACTTCCGTTCCCACTTCCGTTCCCATTCCCACTTCCGTTCCCACTTCCGTTTCCACTTCCGTTCCCATTCCCCATTCCCATTCCCCGTTCCCATTCCCCGTTCCCATTCCCCGTTCCCATTCCCCGTTCCCATTCCCCGTTCCCATTCCCATTCCCCTTCCCCATTCCCCATTCCCATTCCCCGTTCCCATTCCCATTCCCATTCCCCTTTCCCATTCCCCGATTCCCCGTTCCTTGTTTTAAAGATAGCCATTAGATTGTTGCTTCCGATGTTTGCTTGTTACACTGTTGCGTTGACACTAATGAGTAATGACCGGAACCATGCTATATATGGACACAATGTGAGACGAACTTTGTTTTTGAAATAGGATTAGATTTTTGCTTCCGATGTTTGCTTGTTACACTTGCTGAACTGTGTCTTTTTGGTAAATTGTAAGTTTCTAACTCAGTTTGCGGCTCGCTGTGTCATAATATTAATGAATTCCGAACTTTGAACTGACTAAAGTATATTATAACCTTGTCGAATCGTGTTCGGTCTGTATGGGCCTTTAAAGACACCGTTCAACCTTTTTGTGATGGTTTTAAGGTGCATTTCAGCCCTTATAGTCTAAGTAGGAAAATTAATTATACATAATTATCACAGAAGGCCCAGGGATTGTTGTATATTTCATACAGCCGCCATCTTTAATCTCAAGCAACACTGATCTCTAACAATTAACTGAATACATAACATCCCCCCCCTTCCAACGTCAACAAAGGATA